AAGAAGAAGAAGAAGAAGAAATATTTGTGAGTTTCACTGCTCTATGATTTAAGGGAAATTAATTTGTATACTTTTTTTTTTTGGTTCATCAAATTAAATGATTTAGATGTACCGACTTACTCCTGTCTCTTCTTGTACTTCTCTAATGGCTGCCATGCATATATCCTCACCCTATAAGTGAAAGAATTCCATAAATTATACTTACATATTATTAACTAAATAATAATACTATAGAGCATTTTGTACAATATACCACAAGGTTAATTTCAAAACCTATTGTTCCGAATTCTGATGATAACTAACACATTGACTTTGGTCAAAATATTTAATCAAAGAATGTTTGACTAGTGACATTTACTGGTTGTGGTAGGATGGATATTTAACAAAATACTTGGCAAAAAGAAAACAATATGATATATACTTCAGTTCAAACTTTTAAGGAGACTAGTCTCAGGGTACGCGCGTTGCGCGTGTACCCTATATCGATAATTATATATATTTTTTAAATTATATAATTATTATTAATTAATGTGTATGAGTTATTAAATATATACTAAAAATAGTTAAAGTTTCTGAAAATGATATACACCGATTCTATTTAGGTGGCTAGCCATTTGAGATGGTATAACTATAATAATTATAGTTATAAAACATAGGCAAAAAAAAATGAAGTAATAAGATCCTTAATTGATATGAGTTAGAACACCTTGCAAAAAAGAAATTTAGATATCGTATATATTTACAAAGCAAAAGACTTAGAGTCTGAGAACCTAAATATCCTTAAATATTAAAGGGGTATAGCCTAATATTGCCGATGTTAATAACAGTTAGTTCTCACTTATTCTTTGTGGACTTTACTGTTTAATTTTAAATTATTTTTATTTTTGCAAATAATTATATTACATAATTCAAATAAGAAAATTTTTACGCAAGGTATTTAATATGAGAATCTTTTATATATTCAGAAAATGAAGAATTCAATGCACAAAATTTAGTTGTTTTAAACTCCTTATTATCAAAAAAAAGCTTAAGCACAAGCAGTCATATTCAAAAGAAAATAGAATAAGTAGATCTAAGTTGTAATCCCCTATTTTGTGAAATAACATATTGGAAAGAAATAATAATAGTTTGAAAGATCTAAGAAATTTAAAACACTATTTTTTAAACCGAAGGATCATAAAAATTTTTTAACTAAAGTGACAGATTCATAGTTTACCTTGTCCTAACTCCTAAGTATTGGTTCATGATAATCGATAGAACACAACCGTTCTAACTCTAACAAAATAAAATAAAAACAAATACGCAACTAGCAATATTCTCAAAATTTAGACGTACGTATAAATTAATGCTCATTAATTTAAAAGATAAATAATTTATAGAAAGTAAACGCATTTGAACTTAAACTCCTACATATTAGAACTTCTAGTTCAAATAAGGGATAAATAAGATTATAGTTTATTTTAAATTTCTAATATTAGTTAAATGACTGTTTTGTCTAATGTGAAATAAATTTTTAAAGGGTAAAAGAGGCGAACGAAATTTCGCTAAGGGCCTTCATGCTTTTAATATAGTACTAGTCTTTATGTTCGTGCATTGCACGAATATCTTATGTCAAATATTATAAAACGTGTTCCAAAATAGTTGTTAAAATTAGCTAATCAGCTCCATAATAACCAACTCATTAATATAGTTGCGAGACAAATTAAATAGCAGAATGAAACTAAACATTTTAGAATCACATACAATGATAGAATAAATTTGTATATCAGTAGAAGAATGCAACAAGTACAGTGCAGATATGTATTAGAATATGACTGTTAAGGTCTCTGGACAACTTGCTTTAGGCTTTTATCTTTTAAAATAAAATAAATTTTTTAGAACACTGGAATTCTTGATTCCAGATAATTTTAATTTATTATACATGTGTTTTAAGAAGGACATAATATACGATAACATAATCTTTTAGTAGAAAAGAAAATTGGATTACTGATACCTTTTAAGTCTCAATTTGCAGAACTATGCCAAATATTTATACTGATATTCCCATTGGGTTTGTTAAATCGAACCGTAAGATCACCCAAAACAAAGAAGATATGATTTTTTTATAAAAATTATGTTTAGCTGCGTGTTGATACTTGATACATTCTCATTAAATAGATAGATTAGGTTAATCTTTAAGATAAAATTCATGATATTAAGAAATTACATTACCTCTAGAAAAACTTACGTCTCTCAAAGGATGATAAAGCGTATTAATTATTAATGAATGTCATCATATCTAACATAGTTTATTCTTCATTAAGATCGTTCCTTTTATTTAATTAAGGAACTGACGCTATAAAATTATAGAGAAAAAAAAAATTCTTAACCAGATTTAAAACACAAAGTTGCTGGAGTAAATCACCCACTCCGCTAAAGCTCGAATGCTACTACAGGCAATGAAGGAAATTAATTTTTGAGAGAAAATTATATAACAAAGGAAATTAATAAATTACCAAAACAATAAGTACCGTCCAATTTATTTGAAGTAAGCATATATGATATATAGATAGATTGTACAAAGTGTCCTCCATATAGATACAAGCTCGTTTCAAAGTGCTTGTGTCCATATATACGGAACTTAATTTCATATTAAGTAGAACAGATATGGCAAATAGAAGATGAAAAGTTGGAACCATTAGAAGTTTGTCCAAATTTATAGATATTTCAAAGTTACCACTTTTAACTTGAATTAGAAGTTCTCGATATTGGTAGAGTAGGAATTTACTATCGGTGTATGTAGAGTTTAACTCGGGAAGAATGTCATCCTTGGGTAGTATTTTAAATATTACTATTCAATCCACCTTTAACTCAAATATTTAAGAGCATAAAAGTCTATCAATATTTTAAGGATATTTTAGTCGTTCAATATTTAGTATAAATTATTTGTGTTTTTATAATAATATAGATAGATAGATAAACATCGAGTGCAATAAATTTTTAAGATTATTGATTAAGAAACTTGAAAAAGCAAATTGTTATTAAAAATATGAAATTCTCCAAACATGCAGTCTTTTCCTTAAAAAAGTTTATTTTATTCTCCCAATTAGCAATTTATTTTCTCCTTCTAAAACGCTGATTCCCTTAACGCACTCGCTTCTTTCAGGAAAAAGAAAAAGAAAAAGTTAATTATTCTTCCAATTATTTCTTTTTTATTTAAAAAACAGGCTGATACTCTCTTCGGAATCCCCCTTTACATTTTAGAATATTGACAAATTACAATAAAAAATAACTACTAGTATAAGAGATGGAATGATAATATTTGATAGAAATGAAAGATACAAATTATTGGTAACCTCTTCAACAACGCCAGTAGGCAGCTTCCAAATTCCAGTGTTTTTCCCATATTTTTCTTTAACTACTAGCACCTGCGGCCAAGTTGAATATATCACTTCTTTAGTTTTAACTTATTTCTTTAATATAAGACATATGGAAATAACTACTCGCATAAATGATTTTTAATCTAACAGTGTATGTTATTAAATCTTAATTACTATAGTAAGTAATATGCCTTATTTTTTAGATTATACATTCCACTTTTTATATGACAGTATAATTTTATTTCAAGTGACCTGATAATGTAAGAGTACTTTTTCGAACTTAATTAAAAGGATGTGTTATATGGACCCGTCCATTATTGTTGAGGACAAGAGCACCAATACCAACACGATGAGAAGCATTAGCAGGTAAAGTATTAGGTGTTTCTGGAATCCAATAAACAAGCATCACGTATGTTGCTTCAGCATGATGATACCAAAATCCCTCCTGCAATATAATTAAAGACACCACTTAATTATTTATATGACTATATAAACTTAATTAAATCTAATGATACATAATCTGTCTTAAGTTTAACGAGGACATGATCCTTGATAATAGGGTATAAAGATCGAAGATTAAGATTGTAGGTTAATAGGTAGTCATATGTACGTTTTTCTTCTCCATACTAGTAATATTAGTATTACGCCCATTTTCTTATTCTTAGATTTATATTACTATTTATTGTTTGGTTCGGTTATTTATTTTTCTTGCTATTGTTCGTGCTTCTTTTCCATGACTTCTCAATTACCGTATGTCACGACACCAGTTCGCCCTCCGTGAACTGTCGTAACGGCACCTAGTCTCTACGACTAGGTAAGCCTAACAAATGCGGAACATAAACGAAACTTGCAGAAGAAATAATCAAAAACCAAAATAACTCAATGGAAACAATAGTTATAATGCCGCTCGACATATACAACACAACATTCTCAAAACCAAGTACAATATCCCAAAACCCGAAAACTCACAGAAACACAAGCCTTTGGAATATCTAACAGTCTAACTCCAGAATATCTAACAAGAAAGAAAAACACAGAAGGGCAATGTTTAACAGCTAGAATGGAAAGGGACTTCTCGGTCTGCGGACGCGGCAGATGTACCTCGAAGTCTTTAGAGCAGTCACCTCCCTCAAGGATGGTAGGCCTGGGTAGAGGTACCTGGATCTGCACATGAAAAACATGCGCAGAAGGGGCATGAGTACACCACAGCGGTACTCAGTAAGTGTCAATCCTAACCTCGGTTGAGTAGTGACGAGGAAGGTCTGGGCCCTACTGAGATTAAATAAATATAAAGATGACAGGATAAGATAAGCAGTACAATTGAGAATCTACAGTAAGAATCTATATAGGATAATAAGAGTACAATAACGGAAACGGAGATGAAGGCAAACCACCAGAAAGTACCACTCATAACAAGGATAATAACCGGGGATCTCTTGGTATCCTCTATGTATACAAGGGATATCTTGGTATTCCGAGGATCTCTTGGTATCCTCAATATATGTTGGGGATCTCTTGGTATCCTCAATATATGTTGGGGATCTCTTGGTATCCCGAGGATCTCTTGGTATCCTCAATATACGTGCCAGGGATCTCTTGGTATCCTGCACTTCAGTCCAGATCATAAATATGTACAGGGGATCTCCCGGGATGTTGTCTCGTAGTCCCAAATTAAAAACACACAGCAGCAATGCAAGAATACTCAATAATTGCTAAATTTCGTACTAAGTAAACAATTAATTGTAGTCTAACATGCTTCACGAAATAAAATTGAGGTAGTTTAAGCAAATAGGCAATTAAGTCAACTAACCATGCTTTTCTAACTAACAACATGCTAAATTCGCAAGTAGAATAAAACAGGAAAAAGGAACTCAATTGAAATACTTAAAGAAAAACCGGATTTTCAACAATTAGCTCAAGTACGCACTCGTCACCTCACGTACAAGGCATTTCAATTATCAAATATATCATATCCTAAGGGGAAGGTCCCACACACAAGGTTAGACAAGCCACTTACCTCGAACCGGCTCAAAAATCAATCCGAAACCACGCTCTTGTCACGAGTACTTAACTCCACATGGCCCAAATCTATTCAATTAAATTTCATAATGTAAATAACAATTCAAGTAGTTGATTCAACAATTAAATACTAAGCTAATACGCAAAATTAGGTAAAATGACCAAAACGCCCCTCGGGCTCACGTCTCGAAATCGGCTATATATTTTCAGAATTCTCATACTCTCTATATATTTTCAGAATTCTCATACTCTTTATATATTTTCAGAATTCTCATACTCTTACGAGTCTAACCATATCAAAATTATCCCAATCCAATGTCAAACCCCCAATCAAAACTCAATTTCTTTGTCTAAGAACGTTTCCCCCAATTTTCACCAAAATTTTGAAATTAAAAGATGGATTTAAGTGTAGATTCATGGAAATTAGTCTAAACCGAGTAGGAATTACTTACCCAAAATCGCCTAGGTGAAATTCAAAAACCGCAATCTCCCGAGCTCCCAAGTCCAAAATATGAATTATGGCTCAAGCCTTTGAATTTGGGTTTTCAAAATCTACCCAGGGATTCCCTTAATCGTGAACGCGGTCAAACCTAGCACAAATTGACGTTGACCATTTTTCCTTCTTCGCGAACGCGAAGTCTCAGCTCCCAGCCCATCGCGAATGCGGCCCCCTTCTTGTGAATGCGTAAATCAAGACCCCAGCCCTTCGTGGGACCTCCTCGCGAACACGAAGGCCAAACCTTCAGCTCCACGTCCTATCCCTTTGGGAACGCGATGGCCTGTCGCGAACGCAAAGAGCAACTGGTCTGCAACACACCAGTAGTTTTTTTCTGCAATTTCAAACGTCAAGAAATGGTCAGGTTAACAACCCGAAACTCACCTGAGGCCCTCGGGACCTCAACCAAACATACCAATATATCCTATAACCTCATTCGAACTTGTTCCAACCTTCAGAATGCACAAAACAATATCAAAACACCTATTTCTCATCAGATTTAAGCCTAAGAATTCCAAAAACTCTAAAAATACGCTTTCGATCAAAAAGTCTATCAAACCTCGTCCGAATGACCTGAAATTTTGAATACACGTTACATGCAACACTGCTACTCCAATTTCTAGAATTCCATTCCGACTCTTGGATCAAAATCTTGCTATCGAACCAGAAACTTTAAAAATTCAACTTTCGGCATTTCAAGCCTAAATTAGCTACGGACCTCCAAAACACAATCCGAACACGCCCCTAAGCCTGAAATCACCTAACGGAGCTAACAGAACCATCGGATTTCCATTTAGAGGCTGTCTTCACACTGTTCTGACTACGATCAACTTTCCAACACTTAAGCTCTTATTTAGGGACCTAAGTGTCCCAAAACTCTCCGAAACTCAAAACCGAACATCTCGGAGAATCAAATTAGCAGAAATAAACTTGGGGAAAGTAGTTAATAGGGGATCGGGGCATTAATTCCTAAGACGACCAGCCGGGTTGTCACATCCTCCTACACTTAAACATTCGTTTGTCCTCGAACGAGCATAAAGACATACCCAAAGTAGTGAAAAGATGAGGGTAACGGCTGCGCATATCGTGCTCGGTCTCCTAGGTCGCCTCCTTGACCAGCTGGCCCGCCATTGAACCTTTACTGATGCAATATTCTTTGACCTCAGGTTTCTAACCTGCCTGTCCAATATTGCCACTAGCTCCTCAACATAAGATAGATCCTTGTCCAACTGGACTGAACTGAAATCCAACATGTGCGACGGATCACCGTGATACCTCCAGAGCATCGAAACATGGAATACCGGATGAACTCCGACCATGCTGGGAGGTAAGGCAAGCTCATACGCAACCTCCCCAACATGCCTCAATATCTCAAAAGGGCCAATAAATCTTGGACTCAACTTTCCCTTCTTCCCGAATCTCATGACGCCCTTCGTAGGCGAAACCTGAAGCAAAACCCGCTCTCCAACCATATAGAAAACATCATGAACCTTCCGGTCTGCGTAATTCTTCTGTCTGGACTGGGCTGTGCGGAGTCTATCCTGAATCACCTTAACCTTCTCTAAAGCATCCTAAACTAAGTCTGTGCCCAATAATCTGGCCTCACCCGGCTCAAACCAACCCACCGAGGATCAACACTGTCTCCCATATAAAGCCTCATACGGTGCCATATGAATGCTGGACTGATAGTCGTTATTGTAAGCAAACTCCGCCAATGGCAAGAACTGATCCCAAGACCCTCCAAACTCAATCATACACACATGGAGCATATCCTCAAGAATCTGAATAATGCGCTCGGACTGTCCGTCCGTCTGAGGGTGAAATGATGTACTCAACTCTACTCGAGTACCCAACTCATGCTGAACGGCCCTCCAAAACTGTGATGTGAACTGAGTACCTCTATCTGAAATGATGGAAACCGGAATACCATGCAGACGAACAATCTCCCAGATATAAATCTGCGCCAACCGCTCCGAGGAATAAGTAGTACACACAGGAATAAAGTGAGCGGACTTGGTTAGCCAATCCACAATCACCCAAATAGCATCGAACTTTCTCAAAGTCTGTGGGAGCCCAACTACAAAGTCCATGATGATCCTCTCCCACTTCCACTCCGGAATCTCTATCTACTGAAGCAACCTACCCGGTCTTTGGTGCTCATACTTCACTTGCTGACAGTTGAGGCACCGAGCTACAAATCCAACTATATCTTTCTTCATCCATCTCCACCAGTAATGCTACCTCAAGTCCTGATACATCTTCGCGGCACCCGGATGAATGGAATACCGCAAGCTGTGGGCCTCCCAAGAATCAACTCTCGAAGCCCATTAATTGGGTACACAAATCCGACCCTGCATCCTTAATACCCCATCATCACCAATCGTCACATCTCTGGCATCACCGTGCTGAACCTTATCCTTGAGGACAAGCAAATGAGGGTCATCATACTGCCGCTCCCTGATACGATCAAATAAGGAAGACCGAGAAACCATGCAAGCTAGAACCCGACCGGGCTCTGAAAGATCCAATCTCATAAACTGGCTGGCTAAGGCCTGAATATCCATTGCCATAGGCCTCTCCGATGCTGGTAAGTAAGCCAAACTCTCTTCCTCGTGACTCAAAGCATTGTCCACCATATTGGTCTTGCCCGGATGATACAAAATAGTGATGTCATAGTCCTTCAGCAACTCTAACCACCTTCTCTGGCGCAAATTTAGATCCTTTTGCTTAAACAGGTGCTACAAGCTACGATTGTCAGTATAAATCTCACAAGGCACACTATATAAGTAATGGCGTCAAATCTTCAGGGCGTGAATAATGGCAACTAACTCAAGGTCGTGAACAAGGTAGTTCTTCTCATGTATCTTCAATTGTCTGGACGCGTAAGCAATCACCCTACCGTCCTGCATCAACACCGCTCCGAGGCTAAC